AAACAATCGGAAAGGGGATTCATCAGAGAAAATGACTTTACCCCAGTCCTCAGCAGTCCACTCCCTGTACCTTTTGCAGAATATCAGTCTGTCCCTGATGTTTTCCTGGAGAGAAGTGACTTCTTTGCTGCCCTCCTTGAAACCAGGTCTTGCTCCGAGAGTCTCCGCCTCACAGTGCGTGCAGATGCACTCACACCTGCCTGCTGCCATTCCTGAGCAAGCTCTGCACTGCTGGCAGCCCGATCCCGCAGCTGAAACACTTTTAAGAGACGGTCCTGGCGCTTGTTGGTCTTTCTTGGGCGCCCTGGAGCCAAAAAGGCTCTCTCCTTGAAGTTCTTGATGATGCCATAGATTGTTGACTGAGGTGCAATCTTTCCAGCTGCGATTCTCTTTCCTGTTAGGCCATTTTTGTGCAGTGCAATGATGACTGCACGTGTTTCTTTAGAGATAATCATGGTTCACAGAAGAGAAACAACAGATTTGGTTGCTGCTTTGTGGACCTCCAGCAGTCTCAGAACCAGGCCATCAAGTCCGTCAAGAAAAGATTTCAGAAGGTCTGTGGTGACGATTCTTGTAAATTCTGCCGTAATCTGAGGAATATAATATATAGAATATAAAACTTGTCTCAATAGGACAGTTAACTCAGTATTAAATCACTAAATGTCTCGGTGGAACGAATTCAGTTATGCGATTACCTGTCTCTCATGGAACAGAGCAGGCCATCGGGAGATGAACTCTGTGATGTGTGGTTGATCTCCTACAATGTCTTTCCTACGCTGAGAAAATGTAGCAACCATCACATCCTCAAGCTGCTGATGATTTGGGTCTTTCTTCTGCATTTCAGCCTCCATGATCTTGCGCTTCACCTCCATGTTTTCAGGACTGTGTCCTTCAGATGGATCAGGACAGAAGTTCTCCTCTCTCTTCTTTGACTTTTTGACAGTTTCCCCTTTTGAAAATTCAGATTTTCTTTTGTTTATGACCACTTCAGGGCATCCTGCTGAACTTAATTTTTGCCTGTAGTTTCCCATTTTAAATTTCAGACTTTGAAACCATGAGTACCATCTCTTTTCTGACCCTGGGTCTCGCAGACAGGGATGCCTTTCCACCAGTGTTTTGGCAACATTTTCATAGTGTTGTCTGTCAGGATAAGCAGTGACCTTTGACATACAGTCTGCTAGTGTGTCAAGGATATCAGTCTTCAAAGTTCTAGAAATCACTGTCACAGATCCATCCTTAGCATATCTACAATTAGCTTCTTTCAATTGCTGTTCCACATCATGTGAAAACTTTGGAATCGGAAAAGGGTCAGGCCATTTAACAAAATCTGCACTACTTGGAAAAGAGAGGCTGCCGGTGTCCAGTGTAGAATCCGAGGAGTCATCAGCTGTGAACAATACTTTCAAAGTTGCACGGTCCACAGGAAGATCTTTCATATCTGTTAGGTTGCACAACTGATTATTGAAATCAGGATCCTCAAACTGCAAAATGAATCCTCCTCTGAGAGCAAGGTTGGTTCGTAACACCTGGTACAGTTCCTCGACACTTGAGGGGATGTCTTCAATTGAAAGACGCCTGATTTCATTTTTTTTAAATTATGACACGCAGCAGCATTGCAGACAACTTAGACCTGAAAAATTGGAAATTTTGCACGTTAAGAATAATTGCCTCTGGTACTGTGACAAGACACTACATTCATGAGGAGAGACGAGAAAAAAATATTGGGTTGATGATAACTCAAGGTTTTAAAACAACTTAAAGGAATCATCACTGACTAAATGGGGTCTGCACTTTGACAGTGAAGAAAATTAAATATTTACTTTATCTTATCAATTCACTTAATTTGTTACTCAATATAACAAAAAAGTATTTTAACATTTAAGATAATCAGTAACAAGTGTGGGGCAAGGCAAATCTTTGAAATTCAAATAACTAATTGACTGTAGCAAACTAAAATCTAACAGCTCTGTCGTACTATGTTTGTGACTGTTTTTATGCCTACTCCTAATCCATATATGCATCTTTGTCTGTAAGTAATCCTGTGTCATTGCACTCCAATGCTGTTTGACGGAGAATAAGCACGTGATGTGAAATTTGTAATAGTCTTTCGTACATCAGAGTGTACTTGAGACATACAAGATGTTCATGTGTATCTTTCTATGCTTATTTTTCAGTTTTACATTACAGCTCATACTAAAACCGATGCTCGAACGTTTATGTCAGCTGTCTGTCTAGCGCAGTCAAGCGCTCCAGTGCGAGCACAGAGAGAATATCTTACATTCATGTGAAACACACGGCAAACACTACGACCGAGCAAAATAAAATAAGATTTCAGAAAAAAATTGAATTGAGCATCAAAACCGTCTGTGTGAATCAACGGATTTTGACGTTTTAGATTCAGCGGATCAGTCTGACCTGAAGAACAATTTGTCTCTAAGCTTTGTCCAAACCATTTCGCTCATAAATATTTCCATACAAAAAAGTTTACTGTAAAGGCATGAATTTAAAGGGATTGTTTTCTCATTTAGATTACTTTAATGGATTTTCTTTCTTTCTTTTTTTCATCTGATGGGCTCCAGATTGTAGAAAACTGTCAAGTGAAACTCCTAAATTGAATTAATAGAGAGGCACACACACTTCCTGTACGGCTGTCTCTATTCTGGTTACCTGTTATTTTCACAGTTCACTTTGAAAGCATGAAAGTTGACCTTTGAGGCTTTGCATGATCAGGCTCCTAATTGCATTTCGAACCTTCTGAAGCCTAACAACTCAATTCAGGCCTCAGCGTCAGCTTACCAGAGGCTACTCTTGGTTCCTCTTCACCTTTATAATAAGGATCAGTAATTTCTGGCAGATACACCTCGAATACTCAGCACCACATGAAGAGACACCGTTAACTTTATATCGACGGTTTTTATTTTAAAAGGTGGCTACGAATCTTTTGTCATAATACAGTTTGACATATTTTTCCACACATACCTCTGTTTCAATTTTTTATTTGGCGACCAAACACTTTGTGATTTTTAGTTTTAGGATAGATAGTCAAGTTACTTTGCTCAAACTGCTTGTTACTAGTTATCTTTGGAAAAAAAAAAAAACTACTGTAAATATTAAAAAGCTTTGGCATTTGGAAGTTTTGGCAGTTTTCCTCCAAAAAGCCTCACCTCCTGATTTCGATTTTGGCCAATACTGATTTTGTTTTTTTGTCTGCAATGTTACTAAATGTAGCAAGAATTTAAATGAGTGGGATAACTATTGTTCACTGCAAACATGCAGACTTGGATCAAATTTGTGGACAAGATCGTTTTTACATTAAAGTATCGACTGGCTGATTAATTGTTGCGCCCTTAATTACCATGTAAAATAAGATGGTCTGGCTGCTAAAGCCTAACCTGAATAGACTATTGAAAAAAGGAAAAACTAACTATTGCTGGGTTTTTTTAATTTGTAATCCATCAAACGTTTTCTATACATCGGCCTCCTGCTGCAGTTGAGTTATAATCACAATACGCCATGGAACAAAAGCATGGTGAGAGATATAAAAATAAAAAAATCAAACACTCCTTTTTCATCACATTTTTATTGAGGTTTTTTTTTAAACCACGTCTTTTTATGAGGTATTTGTACTACAGATTGTTTCGGCACAAAGAAAAATCAAAAGAGGCAGTTTCACCACCCACTTCATTAATTAAGCTTGTCATCTCTATCAGACTGTAAGGAGAACGTGGCAACAAATTGTTGGGAGTTCAGCGGCTGACACAGATAATAAAGGAGGGAGTGTGATTCAGACAGCAATCAGAGTGAGACATCAGGGGGAAGACATCAGACTAATGCCCCTGTTTATGGGTCAGGCAGAGCTGAAATGTTAAGATCCTCTCATAAACGCCTGAACCATTCCGCGAATATTATTTTTTGCTCATTTGCATGAGTCGGCTTGATGAACAAGAGGCAACTTAAAGTGATGCATGCTTTGTTTTATGAAATTGAGGTGTTCGTGCCTCCCCGCCTCGTTTTTGTTCTCAAAATTTGTATCATTTTTATTACAATTTTGTTGTAACAAAAACGTGAATTATTTCTTGTGGATTAATGAAGGGACAGTTTTGAACTGAAGCGTTATCGGCGTCGAGGCAGTACGCAGGTATTAACCCACCTGGAGGATGTAACTCAGTATTTTCAGTGTGTGTAAAACTAGATTTGCTAAGTTTCATCCTTAAAGACATTGATGGTCTGGATATGGTCTTTTTTTAAGCGTTGCTTGAAGAACTCATTACATTTTTTTACTTATTTGTGTTTTAATAGGCTAGCCTGGGGTAACACATTCAATAAAAAAAATAAAAAAAACAATCACTGGAATTGAATGATAAAGATCAAGATTCTGAACAGTCTCATATTCCCCCTTACACTGGGGAATATTATGCGTTCATGTGAAGGAAGCTGGGACAACTCGTTAGACTTCCTGGATCATTTCTGACAATAAGCGCCGCGAGTGTCTGCTGTGCTTGTTTCCTTGTGCCTGAGCTCCGTCTGACCCAGAAGCGCAAAAAGTAACAAACAAGACTGTTAGGCACTCAAAAAATAAAAACACGTGGTCAAAAACTCTGAAGGTAACAAGGAGTTTGAGTGTGCGTTCACACTGCAGCCTGAAGTGACCCAATTCCGATATTTTTGTGACGTAATGCGACCTGTATCCAATCTTTTCAGGACAGTCTGGACAGCACAGGTCGGATTTGTTTCAAATGCGACCCATATCTGATAACATATCCGATTCAAAGGCGAACTAACATTCAGGTCGCATATGTTTGGGAGTGTGAACGGCCCCAGCAAAGAAAATCCACTTTGACAAAAAAATCGGAATTGGGTCACAAAAAAAGGCGGAAGTGTGAACGCAGCCTAAGAGCAAAGTGTATGTTCTTAAAGCAACTCTGATCTCAGATATGTCACAGCTTTGTTTATCTACCTCAGAAATGGAAGCGTATATTGAGACTGGGACAACAGTTTCTTTGTAAATATTCATAAATCCAAAATACAAGAGAAATTTCCATCTTGGGGATCCTCTTATTTAATATAAACATGCTCCAGCTAGCTCATGTTACAACAAGTAATAAGACACATGTGGTTACTGTAGTCACACAGATGGTACATAGCTCAGCATTACAATGTCACCCGGTGACGATGATCCCATTCAAGCATTTAGGAATAAATCAGTGCTCGGACGTGCCGTAACTTCATTCAGCTGAATAAAAAAGTAAACTGAAGTAATTCATTTGGACCTAAAGAGGCGCAATCAAGAGTCAGCTCACAGCTTCAGAGGTCACAACTAAAAATGAGGAATCTGCCTGTGCAGATATAGTATTGGATTCTGATCCGAGGCTTCAGACACATAAAGACCATTACAAAGTCAACCTTCTATCACCTGAAGAACAAACATTTCCAGAATTAAAGAACCACAAAGTCTTAGCAAGATCTAGAGAAACTCCATGTGTTTATCTGTAGTCGCATTTATTAATGCAACAGTGTCTTCACAAGTCTGCCTTAAACATCATTCAGAGAGCTGCAGCTGAACCAGAACGCTGCTGCTCGCTTTCTCATGTTGACTAGAACAAAAGCGCCTCCCCCCCATTTCTAAAGCTCTTACTTTTATTAGTTTCTACACAACTGAATTGATTAGCACAGAAATACATCAAGTTCCAAACCACACAGATTACATCCAACTTTTCACATACATTCAGATTTCTAGGTATTCATGTTACATTTCAGAAATCAATCCAATGTAAACACATGCAGCAGGTCTGGCAGTAGACAGAAAGCTGCTTTAACCGGATTGCTGTTCTAATTTTTTCAATACTTCTGAGGTAATACAAATGGTAAGTACAACACTTTTTTGTAAGTAAAATATTTTAATTTGTTGTTTCCTCTAAGGTGGATGTGTGGCTCACTTCCTGTGTCACTCATGACATTTCCATCAAATGGCTACATGGGCCCAATCAAAATAGACCCGGGGTCTATCTTGGTCAGACAGTTGCAGCGGTCTGCAAGATCCCGATGGCTTTATCGTGTTCTCAACCGATCTCATCTTCTGTCAGATTGGATCCCAAGACGGGTCTGGTGTGTTCTGGGCAGAAGGGTTTGTTGTTTTTGTTATAACCGTCCAGCCCACTTTGGTCCAAGTCTTCTATGCATCTCTGGGATACGATCTAAACATGGAAAAGAAGCATTAGTCTCTGCTAATCTGGAACAAACTTACAGAAAACAGCAAAAATACAAAGACCCTGAGATCCATTAAATTAAAACCCATTTCTTTAGACTTGCCCTTGAGAAATAGCAACTGGAACATCATTGTGTCTCTATGCCAACTTTTTATTGTTTTTCCTTTACGTTTTCACTGCACAGTAATGTTTCTTGCTGGTTTGTTGTTTCATTTTTTCGTCATGTAAAGCTAGGTGAGTTGCCACATTGATTAAGTGTATAATACAGATAAATTTGCTTTGCCTTACCTTTAGACCTCACTTCAAAAATTGGAAACAATCCGGTTAAGGTAAGGGGCCCTGCACTGACTCCATTCCTTCGTGGGCAGTGCCCTAAAACCTACACAACTAAATCATACGATTAAATTGCCCCCCTTAGCATGCAGTCAAGCTCTGCAGAGCTGTAGTGAAGAGCTAATCAGTTGAGTCAGATGTGCTGAAGCAGACATACATCTAAAAGCCCGTTAGGATTTACGTTTGAAATGCCTGATGTAAGGGTTTTTCTCCGGCCTGTAGAGCACAATTTGGATGACTTACATATCCATCTGAACAACAGTGTTTGACTCGCTCCTTTTTAGGAACGTTCTTCAATATCTCTTTTGTCATGATTTTCAGGGCGGTGAAGTGAGACGTGACAACAGTCATTGATCTGAAGAGACATCTTCCAAAACCAAGGAACCCACAAAGGTGGACCAAGAAAATGTACCATGGAGCCAGGCAGCAATCTGGCAAACGGGTGAGAGGAAACGGATAATCTTTTAACTTCTGGGAACACGGATAAGTGATGTAGGACAAGGTGTGACTGAACAGGGAAATGCAGTGCAGCTGGAGGAAAACCTCTGGAGAGAAACTGAGGTTAAGTGATCGATGTACAAAGAAATTAACACGGATGAGAAAAGTACAGGTCCAAGAAGGATCTAACTAACCAAAGCCAAACGGCTACCGCTACATGAGAATGTAAATGTAAAGAATGTGCTGTGCACAAGAATGAACAGAGAAACGCAACACAAATAAATAAACCGTCTTTTAGATACAATGGCAAACTATATTTTATTTAAATTCATAAACAAGAGCGAATCAAACACACAGAGTTATTGAAATGACACAGCCGTTCAGAAGATGGCCGTAATTTTCCTACGGTGGTTGTATAATTAAAAAATGAGATGAGCAATGACCTTTCCGGAGAAGACCTTTTTCAAAAATTTCCTAGCCTATTTTATAAGATGTCAAATTTAATTGTTACTTGGTGGTGCCTTTTTTCTTCTTGTTTTTTTCTTCTAGCTTGGTACTCATACACACATACATACAAGAGTCTGTCTATCCTGCCACAGTGCTATGCTGCTTCCCATTAATACAGCCAATACAGGCAATTTGACTTTGTGAATTAATACCGATCTTAAAGTGTCTACATGAAACCAACAGAATGCTATTTAACTATTCCTATGGAGAGGAAAGTGGTTTATCAAGTCCAGAGGATCCATTCACACATGCTTTCACATGCTGATGGTGGCAAGCTACTGAATAGAAATTATAGGAAGCATCATTTAGAAATGCCAGTGTAGCCTTTATCCTCTTAACAAACATCTACTATTCTCTTTCTGACATCCTGACGAGTTTAAAATTTGTTGTTGGATTTTTTTTTTTATCTTTTCAATTACTTTGCTTCACCACATTAAGTCCACACACTCCTCTTTAGCATATGCACCTGGTCATCAACGGCATGCATCCTTTCCACCCACAAAACTCAGACATCACTATTACCGTCTTCAAAAATGTCCTTCCAGCTGGAGTTGGAGGAAAACAAAACCTTCACAAGCCAAGTTGCTGATGTTGAGGATAATTCTTAATGGATGATTTTGTTTTGGTCACAGTTATAGGCTCATTTTGCCTCCGGTACCTAAAGTAGACTCAGGTAGAAAATTCTAATGTAGTCATATTTAAAAAAACAAAAAAAAAAACACTTTAGGTTTCTGATCAGTTTGTATTGTTAGACTCAAGAGTCCCCATTAGCATTTACCAGAGCTGTCGACTCAAATTCCTGATAAGACGATTCATCACTGTCTTCCCCAGCAAAGTATAGGAACAGGGAGAGACAAAAGAAAGTATCTGTTTTTCTTCATGGGTGACTGCAATTCCCCTCTTGTTTCCTGCTTTAAGCCCAGTGGATTGGAAACACATTTTCACCCTCGGCTCAGACAGAAGCACACAATCGCTGCCTTTTGTGCACGCACCTATACACACAAATTCCTCTGAGATTCTCCCAAACACACTTCCCCTCTCTTCCTCCCCGACGCATACCCACCAAACGCCAGTGGCACTTTTAAAATTTGCATAGGCACTGTGAGCGAGATAGTCAACCTTTCATCAGGGCTGTATGAGGTCTTTAGGATTGTTAAGGCTCATTAGGGCTTGTTAGGATCTGATTTATATACAGCGTACATTTTGTTCCAAGCTACTACCTCAAACCCAGGGTGACATTAGGTGACAGACACTGGCATTTGGGTTGTGGTTTCTTTCGCGACACACACACCCTGTTATCGTCTGTATGGATGTCGATGGACACGTCTTTTCCCCTTAACATCTGTGTGTGGAATGGCAAGCCTGATCTTATCCTGTGATTTGCTAATTACCATAATCACGACTGACATCGTGAGGGTAATCACACGCATGTGAGCAGTTCTGCAGGGCTCCGACTGCTTCCAGCCAGCTGATTGGATTCACAGCAACTTAACATCCTTTTGTCTGAAGTGACACACTCGTGGACTTTTAGTCGAGTGGCGTTCAACGTGACGTGGTGCGTTGTCGAGCACCATTACGTTTTTTAAAAAAGACATTTGTTTAATAAGGGACAACAGGTGGAAGTAGACGTCGTCATCAAGGTCAAGTTCATAAAATGAAAGTACAGGGCCACGTTATATTAGACTTTAATAGAAGTAGCAGCATGATGTAGTTGGAGTTTGACTTCAAGACTTGCGGAAAAGGAAAATAATCAAGACGGACAAGTGTGTGCTGGCTGTAAACGATCAGACGTTATTTTCACATGAAATCTGCCAGTGCAAGACACAGCCAGAAGACATCGGTTTCAGTTTAATTTGTCGTTCATTTTAGGGTAGCGCTAAAGCGTCACATAATATAATGAAAGTGTTATTTAAAAAAAAAAAAGACTTAATTAAGCTTCACATTGTGTTACAGTTTTACTCCCTTATCAAACACTTACCTGTTGAATTGAATCTCCCCTGGTGGCCGTTCTGTTTGCAGCAACGACTCCCCCACTCAGCTCCTTCAGACTAGCGGCTGCAGCAGTTAGCCGACACCTGGTTGAACTGAGCCTCTGCAGAGTTCTTTGTATGAGGTACTTCTCTCTGAAACACTGGTAAGAGCATTGTCTAAGTCTAAGTAGAAAAACACTGTTTTGATTTGGTGCTGAAGGCAAAGTGTCGGAAAGAAAGGAGAGCTTTTCAAAGAGACAGAGGCCCAATTGCAAGGCATTGAAATTGCAAATTCCACACACCTGTAATTGCACACAGTATAACTGATTGTGATGTTCCCACATGTTGGTTTAATTAGCTGGTTGTTGGCATGATGCTCCCACTCCCATAGTTAAGCTGTGTCTTAGGGTTTTGTCTTACAAAACCAGCTATGCCCAAACAGGTAAAGTTTATTCTCATCAGATTAAATGACAGACTTCCCAAGCACATCACTGCCGTTGTTTCAGCAGTGGAGCTTTTCTTGAACAGTGAACTTGACGTGTCGTTGACGCTTCAGCTCCAACAGAGGTCAGCTGAGCAATAACACCTGATTGCCATTGACGTCTGCAGACGTTTTTGAAATCTTGCGTTGACGACATCGCCAACTTTTTTTTTTTCCAAAGTAGTTTGTCTCCTGGTGGATCATGAGATGTTTGGAAATGGCACTGATTCTCTTTTTTTTTTTTTTGTTGGGAGGGATAGCGATCTTTTTTAAATCAACATATCCAGGATCCTGATGCTTTCCTGATGCTGGAAAATTGTTTGCTTGTAGATGCTGTGCAGTAAAGTTTCTAACTCTTATGTTCGGCAACTTCTATAAAAGTCAATTCGGCTTTGCTTTGCCATTACTTCATCGATTGAGCTGTGATAAAAATATGAGCGAGAGAAAAGGAAAGCAGATGATGCTTTTTCAGCTCTCAGATGCCGTGAACTCTCGTCTCGCTACCGAACTAAAAACTGATCAAACGTATTTAACACTTGATATTTTAGAGCACAAACGGACCCTATTTTTTTCCTACTTCCTCCTCTCCTCTCTGGCTTTGGGTTGCCTTCTTCTTGCCTCCGAATGAGGAAACGCAGCGACTTGACTCAGAGCTCTTCTTCTCACTGAATGTAAATAGCTGAATAAAAGTTTACGTGGGGAAATGAGTATTCATACCGACCACATAATTTGTCCCTTTCTGAATACCATATTCAGATTTGGCCCCACTTGTGCAAACTTCCCATTCAGGCAGCTGTATTTGTGAACTTTGCTAAATTCCCCTTTGGCTCTTGACAAGGACTCTGCAAGCCAAAGTTAATGCTAACTGATGTGTGTCGCATTGAAGCCCGGCCAATGCATTCAGGAGCGCTCAACTAATGGCCTTTTAAGCATAATGACCTTAGCCAAGCAGAACAGAATGTTTATAAACCTCTCATTTATCACTGGAGTTTATTCAGCCAGTCCTAATGGCAGTCTTCTAATGCCATGCTAAATGAGGTGGCTGTTCTTTAAATCTGCTGGTTAAATGGCATTCGCATCTTGGGTTAAATGAAAAGTGATGGAGAGTTTGTTTTACTCGCGTATTCAATTTGTTTTTGCTCCCCATCAGTTTGTCGGCTGGAAAGTATCTCGGGGAAAAATTAGCGTTACGAGAGCAGAGAGGGACGTGTCAGAGGAAGCGAAAGGAAATCGGCGCCGCACGCTTCCTGAAAGGTGTGACAGCGTTTTAAAGCCATATTGAGAAAAAGTCGAGCATGAAGTCATAATGTTACAAGAAAAAAGTCATAACATTATGACTTTTTTAATACTGTGTAGGGTGAAAGAGACAGAATAGATGAGGAATGCACACATATTTTCTTCTCAGTATTATATGTTTTCCAGGCACTTGGTGCATGTTGTGTTGCATAATCAAGTACCATTGGTTGTTATAAAAATGCCATATATCTTATTTGACTTAAAAGAAATTTTACCGTGAAGTACCGTCAATGATGAGCTCGGCAGACGCGACGCTCAACCAGACGTTTGCTAATTGCTCCTGGCTAGTTTGAAGGGGCTGATGGAGGTAGTCACAAGGGAGGTGAGACGGAAGCTTGGAAACTGCAGGTCTGAGGACGAGCTTCGCCTCAAAGGCGGGGCTAGGTTTCATCAAGCGTTTTGCAAAGCTGAATGATTGCCATGGGAGATTAAAGGATTTCTCAAACATGAATGAAAGAATCAAGGAAACGCTCTAGGTGTGATTTTGATTGAGAGAGAGCATTATGATAATGATGTAAACCTAAAAAAAAGTCAATTTTACATAATATTCAATTTGGGGGTGAAAAAATTGTTGGTAACCAAACAATGTTTGGTTGTTATATAGCAAATGATGCAGCAGAGGAAAACAAAACATCTCTGTTTTAGTTTCTGAAACAAGATAGACATAAACAGAACAACAGAAGCATGGATAGGGAGTCACTTTAGAAACCCCCGGGACTCCGGTCTGTAATGAGCTGTAAAAGCTCCCTG